CTGAAAGTAATCTAAATTCCAACATATAATGGAATGCTATACAGACACTAAGAAGAATGAGATAGAACAGTATATGCTTACGTGAACAAACATTCAAGATACACTGAAAGACAAGTTGCACAATGACATACAGAGTGTAAATCAACTTATATTTTTTACATGATCCTTTAAAAAGTTCTGTAAGAATAAGCAATCCATTAAGAAATGCTTCAGTAGGGGTTGGAGTTGACAGAAAAAACACAATTACTTACTTTTCACATTATGCCAAAATGCACTGTGAAGTTTGGTTATATGCACATTACTTTTAAAACTAGTTTAAAAATTTTTTTTAAAATAAAGGCATTAAACATACACAATCCTCACTCCCCAGAAAAAAAAGATTATGTCCTATTACTGATTTCCCAAGTACTAGAAAACAATTCTCCTTGTACTGCTCAAACTAAAAGCTTCCTCAGGACTTCAACGACAGTGTGGTATTACGGTATACAAATAGGACCTGGAGTCAGAAAGATAGAGAGTCGTTCAAACCCCTAAGCAGTCCTACAGTAAGTGACATCTGGCACCTTAACTCACAGACTCCTCCGTTTCAAACCTGGAGTACCGCCTACACACTGCAGGATGATTATGAGAAGTAAGAAATATTAATAACACTAATAAAAAAATTTAATTTGGTTTCAGACATACAGTAGGTTCTCAATGATGTTGGCTCCTTTTCTTTTCATACAAGCTGAATTAGATAAAAGTTCTAGCTTGTTTTAGTTTCCTCAACTATCATTTCAAGAAACGATTCTCTCGTCTCTCACTCTCTCTCACACACACACACACACACACACACACACACACACACAAGCGGCTTTAGAACAAGGAAAAGTGACCACAGGACATAACGAAATAGAGCTATACTATGCTCCCCACCAACTTCCCATTCTTCCTTCAGTTGGCATTTTAGATAACTGTTTCCTTCCAAGGAACGGCTGCAGAGCAGAAGGGCAAAATGTATAGATGAGGAGGAAGCAGGGATAATATACAGATAACGTACACCATTCACACAGAGTTCTGTGACTTTAATCAGATCTCGGGAAGGCAGGGCAGATGCTTGTAATACATACTGAATAGATAAAAATGAATACGTACTTATTTTTTCTAAGACAAAACTTTAGATTTTAATTCTTTCTGACTCTGTTCTGAACATACTGTATGTAATGGCACAAGGAAAATGCCTTTCAGATGAGTAAACAACAGAGAATCCGCTATTATATTATATACAGCAACTTAAATGTAACAGTGCCCCACTCCCAGCTTCCAGCACGAAAGACACTTAAAAGAAAAAAAGGCAATTCTGAGGAACATTCCTTGCTTAAAGACAGCAACGAAAACGCAAAGCCAGGAAAGAAACCACGCACGTACCCCAGAACCACGCCCAGCTCCTTGACATGAACACGCATCTGCCCCCTCAGGTATTCGGACAGCATCTTACTCTTGAAGTACAGCTCCTGCAGTCGGTCCTCCAGGTGCATCACACACTGCAGTCAGGGAGGGACCAAGAACCAGGTCATCCAACAGTTCTCAACTCCGAGTCGTGGCAAATTCCAAAGCAAAATTCTATTTAATTACTCCAACATGAACGAAATTTGAAGCACATTTTAAAAGTATGTAGTTTTAGCTATACAGGAATGTAAACCTTTTTCTGACTCATATTGAAGATTAGCTTCTACAGTGTTTGTGTTTTTCTTTTTTTTCCTAATTGTGGTAAAATACACATAATATAAAATTTACCATTTTAACTTTTTTTTTTTTTTTTTTGAGACAGAGTCTTGCTCTGTTGCCCAGCTGCAGTGCAGTGGGCAGTGGCGTCACGACAGCTCACTGCAACCTCCAACTCCTGTGCTCCAGTGATCCTCCTGCCTCAGCCTCCCATCGTGCTGGGACTACAGGCTTGATTATGGGCCACACCCAACCCCCAATATAGTTTTATTTCAAAATTTGAAAAATGTAACATTCTTACAAATTGGTACATTTCACATTTATTTAGATAGGAAAGGCTGTATTCTCCTGTGGAGAGTAAAAAACAGTTTGAAATAGTTCACAGAGAAGGGTCTGCAGTCCTTACTAAAAGAGAGATGTTTCTAAGCTGGAACATTAAAAATTAAAACATATGTATTTTGATTATCAATTAACTTGCTTTATTAAAATAGGTGATTTTCATGTGAATTGAAGCTATATTATGTTTGAGGAAAAAACGTGAGTTTCAAGTGTTAAAAGCATCAAATTCTTGCAGAGTATTCCTTTCCAGTGAAAATCAGCTCTGAATAAAAACCTACTTTATTATTGAGAAAACACCACCAAATGAATTTCTTGGCTCACTTGTTGCGGTGTATGTTTTTTCCATAATGTTTGCTGAGGCTGAAAATACCCAAGAAGAAAATCTGAACTCCAGAATGTATGTACACATAAAATACATAATTTACCGTAGTAGCCATTTTAATGCATGTAATTCAGTGGCATCAAGAGCATTCACAGTGTTGTGCAACCATCATCCCCCCATCCACTTCCAGAACTTTCTCATCATCCCAAACAAAAACTCTGTATCTATTAATAGCTCCACATTCCCTCTTTCCCCCCCAGCCCCTGATAACCACTATTTTACTTTCTGTCTCTACGAATTTGCCTACTTGATTCTACCTCGTATAAGTGGAATCATACAATCAATATTTGTCTTTTTATGTCATAATGTTTTCGAAGTTCATCCATGTTGTACCATTATCAGAATTTCAGTCCTTTGGCTGAAGCAAAGGACTGAAAAACACTGAACAAATATCACACTGTATGTATCACGTCACATTTTGTTTATTCATTCATTTGCTGATGGACACAGTTATTTCTAATTTTTGGCTATTGTGAATAATGCTGCTATGAATATCAGGATACAATTATCTGTTTGAATCCCTGCTTCCAGTTCAAGCACACGTGAAGAAGTACAATTGCGAGAGCATGTGGCAAAACCGTGTTAAACTTTCTGAGGAACTGCCAAACTTTTCTACAGCTCCTGCACCATCTTACGTTCCCGCCAGCAATGCACGAGGGTTTCAATTTCTCCCCATCCTGGCCGACACTTACTATTAGTTGTGGTTTTTTGATTGCAGCCATCCTTACGGGTATTAAATGGCATCTCAGTTGGTTTTTATCTGCATTCTCCTAATGACTAATGATGGTGAACATATGTGTTCACGTGCTTACTGGCCATCTGTGTATTTTCTTTTGGGGAATGCCTATTCAACTCCTTTGCCCATTTTTAAATCCAATTGTTCACTTTTTGTCGTTGAGGTATAGGAGCTCTTTATATAGTCTGGGTATCAATCCTTTTTCAGATATACGATTTGTAATTATTTTCTCCCATTTTGTGGGCTGTCTTTTCACTCTGTTGACAGCTGATAAATAGAAGTTTTAAATTTTGGTGAAGTTTAATTTATCTATTTTTTACTTTTGTTACCTGTGCTGTTGTGATCAAGAAATCACTGCTACTATATCCAATGTCATGAAGAGTATCCCCTATGTTTTCTTGTAAGTTTTATAGTTTTAGCTCTTAAGTTTAGGTCTTTGATCCATTTTTAGTTCATTTCTGTGTAGGGCGTAAGGTGAGGCCACAACTTCACTCTTCTTTTGCACGTAGCTGTCCAGCGTTCTCGGCATCTTGTGCAGAAAAGACTCCTTTCCTCTGTTGAATGGTCTTAGACCTTTGTTGAAAATTAACTAATTTCATATGTGAGGGTTTATTTTTTTGGATCTCCAGTCTATTCCATTTGTTTAGATGCCGGTCCTTACGCCAGTACCATAATGTTCCAATTACTATAGTTCTGTAGTAAGTTTTGAAATCAGAAGTGTGAGTCCTCCAACTTTGTTCTTTTTCAAGATTGCTTTGTCTCTTTGAAGTCCCTTGAGATTCCTAATGGATTTTAAGATGAGTTTTTCTATTTCTGCAAAAAGTGTCATTGGGATTTTGATAGGAATTTCATCGAATCTGTAGATCGCTTTGGGCAGGAATGACATCTTAATAATATTAAGTCTTCCAATCCATGAACATGAAAGGTGCTTCCATTTACTTATGTTCTTCTTTAATTCCTTTCAGTAATGTTCTGTAGTTTACAGTATACAAGTTTTCTGTCTCCTTGGTATTATTCCTAAGTAATTTATTCCTTTTGATGCTATTGTAAGTGGAACTGTTTTCTTAATTTTCTTTTCAGATTGCTCATTGCTAGTGTACATGAATGCAACTTATTTTTACATGTTTTATAAAATGCAAATTTGTTTAATTTGCCTATTATTAGTTTTTTTTGTAGACTCTTTATGTTTTCTACATATAAGATCATGTCATCTGTAAACAGAGATAATTTTACTTCTTCCTTTCCAATTTTGAAGATTTTTGTTTTTTTTCTTACCTAACTGCTCTGGCTAGGACTTCCAGTGCCATGTTGAATAGAAGTGGTGAGAATGAGCATCACTGTCTTGTTCTTGGTCTTAGGGGACATGCTCTCAGTCTGTTGCAGTTGAGAATGATGTCAGCTATAGGCTTGTCAAAGATGGCTTTCATTAGTTGATCTACAGAGCTCCTTAGCTATACTATATTACAGTTCTCCTAATAAGAGAAAGAACCTTGAAAGTTGGAAATGATGTCTTTAATAAGAGGTTATCAATACTATAAAGAGTATAGTATTGTATTTGTATAGTATAGTATTTGTCATCACATACAAAGTGATGACACGACAACAAGGGTCCAGAATGCACTGGATTCTACACAAAGCCTGGAGATGTCACATGACTGTACTGCACGTGATCAACCATCCTGGCTGCTGAAATCAGAATATAGAAACATGTACACGTTCCCCTCTGTCGTAGCTTGGGCAGCCATAACAAAATGTCACAGACTGGGTGGCTTAAACACAAATTTATTTTCTCATGGTTCTGGAGGTTGGAAGTCCAAGATCACAATGCAGCCACGGCTAGGCTCTAATGCGAGCTCACTTCCCAGTTGGCAGATGGCTGCCTTGTCCCCGTGTTCATACACGGTAGAAAGAGAACAGTTTTTCTCTCTCTTCCTCATCTTATTAGGCTACTAATACCACCATGAGGGCCCCACCCTTAAGATCTAATCTAACCTTAATTACCTCCCAAAGACCTCATCTCCAAAACTGTCACAGTGAAGGTTAGGGCTCCAGCTTATGAGTTTGGGGGGTAACTCAAATAGTCACTCCCTAATACCTTCTTTCAGAGAAACAGTGATGAAACTAGGAGTAATATTTAAATGTAGGCACATATGAAACAGAGTTTAGTCATCTATCGGAGTGCTCAACCCTTACACATACTTACAAAATTTGGAGATAAGTTATGCTTATAAAGTTGAAGAGTGGAATGAAGCAGATTGGAAACAAGACTGGAAACCAATACTTCCTTTCCCAATTTATTGTCTGTTGCTCGTCTCTGGCTACTGGCCACTTGAACAGTCCATTTATCCATATCAGCTATAATACAGACAGCTTCTGCTATTGGTTCATCCAACACTGGATGCTGGAAAGAAAAGAAGAATTCATCTCATGATAAGAAAATAAAGTTTTCAAAAATAATGCCAATTTTACAATGAAGAGATATTAAACAAAAACAAAAAAACATCAAATTTCAAAAGCTACTGCCAAAGAATCCCTGACCAAGGAGAATGTATAATTAATTAATAACAAATATCCTGAGACATCTTATAGAAATCATCATAGAGACTTTGAATTTATTACCAGGACTTTGTATTCTTTAATCCAGAACTTAACTTTCACCAGTGTTTTGATCATTCATTCATTTGGTGAATTTACTGTCAACTAAGTGCCAGGCAATCAGAAGAAAATGTTTTTTACCTTGAAAGATATAAATATCTTAAAAACAGGACAGGATTTATTCACACGAACAAGTCAATGTAAGATTCCATGCTAACTACCTCAATATATCAGGCATTAGTAGGAGCTATCCCTTGAGATCACGAAGTACCTTGCTGCCCGTGTGCACTAGATTCGTCTTTTTTCTTTTTCTTTTTGTTTAGACAGGGTCTCCCTCGCTGCCCAGGCTGGAGTGCAGGGGCGTGCACAGCTCACTGCAGCCTCCAGCTCCCAGGATCAAGCCATCCACAGGCCTCGGCCTCCCAGGTAGCTACGACTACAGGTGTGCAACACCTCGTCCAGCTAACTTTTATATTTTTTTGTAGCGAGCTGGCCTTGTTCTGTTGCCCAGGCTGGGCATTTCTTTATTCTACGAAGACATATATCCAGAGTATGAATATAGCAGTTAAAAAGGGGACAAATCAACATGAGCTAACATGGTTCTCCGAGATGCACTGGTAGATGAAAAAAAGGTCACCATACACAAACACACGTTACATCTCAATTATGTTTCTAACAACTCAAATCTACAGCTAAGTGAAAATGTGGAAGAAAAAGAAAAAAAACAAAAAAATCTCAACCTCTTTACCATGAAGACCTCTGTGAGGAAGTACGAATAAAATTAAGAGTATGAAGAAGGACTTCTACTTTTACTCTCTGTATCTTTATATTGTTTGAATTTTTATCACAAGCATTCACCAAAATGATACTTTTATAATTAAAACATTTAAGATATAGTGAAAAATAATATTTTAACTCATATATACATACTGATGAAAGGGCCCACAAGGTCATTACTGTGTCCTTGGCACATGGTTTACACACAAGACCAAAAATAGCAATTGAGCACAGAGCACAACTATCAGAAACCGACAGTGGCCCCACAATGCTCAGTACTTCAACATCTTTTTATATTTGGAAAGGAAAAGATTTATTTACCATAGCCAACTGGAATAGCAGCAAAAAGACTGAGACTAAAACTACAGTTTGAAATACTCAGATCCAATGACCTTTCCTCTAACTTTTACTGTTACTACAATTAGGATAAGGTACTACAATAAAATACAAAAATAGAAGTTTCCTCCTGGATAAACCCAGGTTTGGCATTCACAAATGATATTCCTTTGCCAAGTGAATGAACAACCAGTCTGAGTAAGCGTCCAGGAAAGACACTAAGGAAACAAAGACAACAGAGCCGACACTCTTTTGTGAGGGAGATCAAAATAAAAACACCGGCTATTAAAAAAACATGCAACAGATGAAGCAGGAACCCAGTGCTGGGGAAGGGGAGGAGGATGACTGTGGGGGCTGTGTGACAGGGAGCTCCACGGTGGACAGGAGATAGGAATATGACATTAAAGTAAGCAAGATCAGATTTCCGGTGAAAATGGGAGAGAAATACGGGACAATTCTGTTAGAGGAAGCACGATGCGAAGGCTGGGAGACACAAGTGGATGCATATGGCTAAATCTGTGAGAAATGATACTAAAATATTTCTTATTCATCTCTTGCCAAAAATATAACATTTTATATTTATCAATTTAATTATGAACACATTATAATTTTGACAAAGATACCTACATTTGTGATACTGTGACATACATACAGTCGACCACTGAACAATACGGGTTTGAACTGCACAGGTCCACATGTATGTGAATGTTTTTCAATAAATATATTGGAAAATTTTTTGTAGATTTGTGAGAGTTTGAAAAAACTCACGGATGAACTGCATAGCTTAGAAAAAGCAAAAAAATTAAGAAAAACTTAGATATGTCAATATGCATAAAACACATGTAGATGGCAGGCATGGTGGCTCATGCCAGTAATCCTGGCTACTTGGGAGGCTGAGGTGGGAGGATCACTTGAGCCCAGGAGTTAGAGACCAGCCTGAGCAACACAGTGAGACCCTGTCTCAAAAAAAAAAAAAAAGTAGATACTAGTTTATTTTATCATTTACCACCATAAATATATATAAATTATAAAAAGTTAAAATTTATCAAAACTTATTTAAACACTTACAGACCATACATGGTACAATTTGTAGCCAAGAGAAATGTAAACAAATGTAAAGAAGCAGTACTGAACCAAAGCTGCATAAAATTAACCGTAGCACAATACTGTACCACTATAATAATTTCATAGCCACTGCTTGTTGCTATTGCCACAGTGTTGCAAATATGCACTTAAAATGTCCTGTGACGCTAATCATCTCTGCAAGAACAGTTTCTTTCTCCAGTAAATTATATATTGCAGTAAAAAGGGACCTCTTGAGTTTCTTGCATATTTTTTATCACACTTAGTGCAACACTGTAAAACATGAGTGATACCAGGGGATCCATAAAAGGTGCTGCTAATGATGCTGGAAGTACTCACAAGAAACACAGAAAACTCATGACATTACAAGAAAAAACTGAATTGCTTGATATGTACCGTGGATTGAAGTCTGCAGCTGTGGTTGCCCATCATTTCAAAATAAACAAATCTAGTTATAAGGACCAATGTAAAAAAAAGATATCTGTGAAGACTTAACTGCAGCTACACCAGCTGGTATGAAAACATTGCACTTTTTTGAAAAAATATCTTTTCATGTTGTATTGAAAATGCAGCTTCTATGCAGGCGCAAGATTGCTGTAAGAAAGGCATAAGCATAGAAACTAATATGATTCGAGAGGAAGCAGTCATTATACGACAACTTAAAGCAACAGGAAGGTGAAGGATCTAAAGCTGAAGAATTTAATGCCAGTAAAGGATGGTTTGATAATTTTAGAAAGAAATATGGCTTAAAAAAAAAAAACAAGGTAACAAAAGAACCAGCTTTTGCTGACCAAGAGAGGCAGCAGACAAGTTCCCAGATGTCATTAAGAAAATCACTAATGAGAAAAGGGATTCCTGAACAGGTTTTTATACAAACAAAAGTGCCCTATTCTGAAAAAGAAAAAAAAAAAAACAAAAAAGGACATTTAATAGTAAGGAAGAGGAGTGAGGACCAGGATTTAAGGCAGGAGGAGAAAGGCTAATTCTACCGCTTTTGCGATTTAGGATTAAGATCAGGATTGCACTTATCTATAAAGCTGCTAACTCCCAGCCTGTAGCCCCAGCTACTTGGGAGGCTGAGGCAGGAGGATTGCTCAAGCCCAGGAGTTTGAGGTTGCAACGAGCTATGATGACACCACTGCACTCTAGCCGTGGCAACGGAGTGAGACCCTGTCTCAAAAACAAAAACAACAACAAAAAACAGACACATAGACCAATGGAACAGAATTAAGAACAAAGATATAAATCCACTCATTTATAGCCAACTCATTTTTGATAAAGTCACCAAGAACATACATTGAGGACAAGACAGTCTCTTTAATAAATGGTGCTGGGAAAACTGGATATCCATACGCGGAAGAATGAAACTAGACCCCTCTCTCTCACCAGGTAAAAAAATCAAATCAAAATGAATTAAAAACTTAAATCTAAGACCTGAACCTCTGAAACTACTGTAAGAAAATACTGGGATAATGCTCAAGGACATTGGTCTGGGCAAAGATTTTTTGAGTAATACCTCAAAAGCACAGGCAACCAAAGCAAAAATAGACAAACAGGGTTACATGAAGCTAAAAAGCTTTTGCTCAGCAAAGGAAACAATCAGCAAAGTGAAGAGACAACCCGCAGAATGGAAGAAAATATCTGCAGATTATCCATCTGACAAAGGATTAATCAATAGAATATATAAGGAGCACAGACAATGGCAAAAAAATAATAATAATCAGAATAAAAATGGGGAAAAGATCTGAACAGACATTTCTCAAAAGAAGACACACAGGCCAGGCATGGTGGCTCACACCTGTAATCCTAGCACTTTGGGAGGCGGAGGCGGAGATCACTTGAGCCCAGGAATTTGAGGTTGCTGTGAGCTACGATGACACTGCTACACTCTAGCCCAGGCCAACAGGTGCATGAACAAATGCTCAACATCACTAATCATCAGAGAAATGCAAATCAAAACCACAATGAGACATTACCTCACCCCACTTAAAATGGTTTTTATCAAAAAGGGAATAACAGATGCTGGCGAGGATGTACAGAAAGGGGAACCCTTGTACACTGCTGGTGGCAATGTAAATCTTTGTAGCCACATAGAAAACAGTATCAAAAAACTAAAAAAAAAAGACTACCACTACCTTATGATCCAGCAATTCCACTATTGGGTATGTATCCAAAAGAAAAAGGAAATCAATAGATTGAAGAGATATCTGTACTCTCATGTTTATTAATGTAGCACTATTCACATTAGCCAATAGATAGAATCAGCCAAAGTGTCCATCAATGGATGAGTAGATAAATACAGAACGCAATATTATTCAACCACAAAAAAGAATGAAATCCCGTCATTTGCACCAACACAGGTGGAACTGGAGGTCATTATATTAAGTGAAATTAGCCAAGCAAAAAAAGGCAAATATCACATGTTCTCACTTATGTGGAAGATAAAATCATGGATCTCGCAAAGACAGAAAGTAGAATGGTGGTTACCAAAGGCCAAGAAGGGAGGGGTTAGGGAGGGATAAAGAGAGGTTGATTAATGGCTAGAAACATACCCATTAATATAGAAGAAATAAGACCCTAGTGTTTGATAGATCAGTATGGTGACAACAGTTTACAATAATCTATTACATATATCAAAATAGTTAGACGAGAATAATTTGAGTGTTTCTAGAATAAAGAAAAGACAAATATTTAAGGTGATCAATATCCCAATTACATTGATTTGGTCTTTACAAATTATAAAATTAAATTATCACATGTACCCCCAAAATATGTATATGTATTATGAATGAATAAAAAATATTTTTTAAAGAAAGAATTAAATAATAATTACTCAAACGCACTTTAGTTGTTTGAAAAGGGGTGGGTGGGGCATGGAGGCAGCGCCATCCACTTTGAAATTACTTGTTTTCACTCAAGCAATTGTCACATGCGATGCCCTAATCTGATAAAATTTCAATGTAACCAATCTCAGTTCACCCGCTCACCATCGACTTCCATAGAAGACCACCTATACTCAATTACACCTTCCCGACCGAGACTGTGTAGCGGTCTCCTGCTAAGTTTTACTGAGCCTGTCGTACGCAGCTTTAGGTGCCCGAGTCACGCAACGGGTAGTGTGTGCGTGAGGAAGATGATGCAGGGATTACAAAGTTTTATTTTTCTTAAACCCTCCTCTCTGAGTTCCACAGCTTCTACAATACAAATTAACCTACAATCTTATCAAACTTTTTTCTCTCCCAGGCAATTCCAGAACCCTCAATACTTAAACTCCAAAATCGTCAAGTGTCCCCTCTCTACAGAACACTTGGCATCTCCACTCTGTTACATGGATGCCCATTCTCACCACTCAGTAGCTTCCTTTTTTTACTGTTTGGTACTAATTCATTCATACACTTGGCCTTATTTTCTGTTACTAAGTAAATAGTGTGAAGTCAGACAGTATTTCTTTTTTATCTATATATCCCCTGGAGTCTTAGTGCTATGTTCAGAACATAGTAAGTTAGTAAATATTTATCTAATTGGTAATAAAGATGATGCAAATGGCCTTTAAATATTAAGATCTCAAATTTTAATAAGCTTTTTTCACAAACTGTGTTTTTGTCTAGATTCGCCATAATTTCTCACTATATAATAAAACACCAAACTTTACAACTTTGGTAACTTTCTACAGACACAGAAGGTTTAAATCTTTCTGGCTAACAGTTAAATGACTGCTTGCTCACTCAGCCACATTTTCCCACCCATGATTTCCCAGTTGGCTTTCTCTATTTCCTTTCAAGCACTTTTTATTTGAAGGGTGGGTGAATATTGTTATTTAAAAAAATTTATTAAAGTGACATATGTAATTGAAGGGAGAAACAGAAAATTCAACAAAACAATAAATGGAGACTTCAATACTCCACCCTCAAAAAATAACAGAACCAAATAGAAAATCAGCAAGGACACAAAGACTTGAAAAAGGCTATTAACCAACATGACCTGATATCTATAGAACATCCCCACCCAACAACAGTAGAGTATATACAGTCTTTTCATTTATTTATTTTTTTTTTAAGACAGTCTCTCTCGCTTTGTCGCCCCAGCTGGAGTGCAGTAGTGTCATCATAGCTCACTCACTGCAACTTCAAACTCCTGGGCTCAAGCAGTCCTCCTGCCTCAGCCTCTAGAGTATCTGCGACTACAGGCACATGTCACTGTGCCCGGCTAATTTTTCTATTTTTAGTAGAGACGAGATTTCACTCTTGCTCAGGCTGATTTCAAACTCCTGAGCTCAAGTGATCCTCCCGCCTCGGACTCCCAGAGTGCTGGATTACAGGCCTGAGCCACTGAGCCCGGCCTTACCTAGTCTTTTCAAGTGTGTATGCGCATTCTCCAGGACAGACAATATGCTAAGACATGAAACAAGTACGAGTCTCAATAAATTTTAAAGGACTGAAATGATACAAAGTATGTTCTCCAACTATAATGGAACTAAATTAAAAAGCAACAATAAAAAATTTGGGAATTCTACAAATATTTGCAGATTAAACAGCACACTTCTAAATAACCCGTGGGTCAAAGAAATTTGAGCAAAATTAGAAAATATTTTGAGACAACTGAAAATGAAAACACAACAGATCAAAATTTATACGATTCGATTAAAGCAGTGCTAGAAGAAAAGTTATAGCTTTAAATACCTACATTAGAAAAAAAGAAATAAATCAATGACCTAATCTTCCACCTTAAGAAACTAAAAAAAAGAGCGAACTAAACCCAAAACAAGCAGAAAGAAAGAAATAAGGAAGATTACAGTATAAATCAATGAAAATAGAAAACGGAAAAATAGAAAAAAATCAACAAAAACAAAAGGTGTTTCTTTGAAAAGACCAACAAAATTGACAAACCTTCATCTAAAATGAGAATCGGCAAAAGAGGCAGACAGAAAAGATTTTAGGGTTTGGGGGCTAAAAGGTCTCTGTCTCAATGACTCCATCTCTGCTGTTAAGCGTGGAAACAGCAGGAGAGTATGTCAGTGAATGGTTGTCGCAGTGTTCCAGTAAAACTATCTACAAAAAGCAGGACCATGTGGCACACTGGCCATAGCTTGCTAATCTTCGAGCCCTATGGGAAAAAAATATCTACAATTTAAGCCAACCCACGAATGAACTCCTCTTTGAAGCAGCCCCCATCTTTGGGGAAAAAAGGAAACAAAAAAAACACAGATTACAAAGTTCAGGAATATAAAAGGGGACATCACTTGCAACCTTACGGAAATTAAAAGGATTATCTATACTATACTAAAATCTATACTATGAACAACTTAATTCTAATAAATTAGAACACTTAAATGAAACTGATAAATAGTACCAATCCTCTAGAAACTCTTCTAAAAATAGAGGTGGGAATACTATCCAACTCATTCCATGAGGCCAGTATTACCCAGAGATCAGACAAAGACTTTAAAAGAAAACTACAGACCAGCATCTCTCATGAATACAGACTCCAAAATCCACAACAAAATATTAGTAAATCAAATCCAGCAACATATAAAAAAAATTATATACCAACGACCAAGAGGGATTCTTTCCTAGGAATACAAGGGCTGGTTTAACATCTAAAAGTCAATCAGTGAAATCCACGACATCACCAGTTTAAAGAAGAAAACCCACATGATCATCTGAATAGATACACAGTAAAAGCATTTGACAAAATCCCACACCCATTTATAACTCAAAGGATGGGGGAAAACCCTCAAGACTAGGAAGAAAAGGGAACTTCCGCTACCTGATAAAGGGCATCTACAAGAAAGAACCACACAGCTAACATCAGCTTAATCATGGAAGACTCAGTATTTTCCACGAAGATCAGGAATAAGACAATAATGTCCACTGTCACCACTTCCATGCAACACTGTACTTAAGGCTCTAGCCAGCACAATGCAGGGGCGGGGGAGGAAATGGCATCCAGATAGGAAAGAAGATGTAAACTGTTCACTGATAACATGGGCCTGGGTGTAGAAAACCCTAAGAAATCTAAAAAAAAAAAAAAAAAAAAAAACGTAATAGAATTAGTAAGAGTTCAGAAAGGACCCAGGACACATTATCAATATTCAGTACTTCTATATAAGCAATGAATAATCTGAAAAGGAATTAAGAAAATAATTCCATTCACAGTTAAGCATTTTCAAATTTTGATACTGTAAATAATCTAGTTGATGGACATCCATGAACACACAAAGTACTTTCTGCCTTTCAGATTTCCACTTGGATGGCTTCCTGGAACTCTATTTGCTTTCACAGCAATAGGAACAAGGACGCAGGTGTTGTATATAAAGTGATGAATTCAGAAAACAGTGACTGTGTTATACACAGTAAAGTGTGTCCAAGAACACAAGGCAATTCTGGGTTCTGCTGGTAAGGGTTCGTTTCAAATAAATTCAAGAACAGTAAAGGTCACTCACCTGCACAGCATGAGAGAGATCTGACACCAGACAGTGACGGAGCCTCTCATCACTCCCGATTCCTTGAAGAACAAAGTCAGGCACATAAGATGAGCAGTAGCCACCCAGCAAAGACCTCCCAAAGTTGGCAATGTTGGGCTGAATGGCACTCACTTCAATTAACTTTGACCTACAAGAAAAACCCCCCAAAAGGGAACATATAATTAGTGATAAACATATTTAACCAGCAAAAACATTGTGAACTCTACTAGTCTATATTTCCAGTGCCATTATTTTCCACAAAATATAGTCAGAATAAAATTATCCTTAAATAAAAACTGGCCGTCCAGAGAAAGTCTGATGAGCAACTTTGTAACGAAGTGGGCATCAATCTTGCATAGTAGACTTCCGGAGAGCTGTCCCATGTGCTTCTAACATATTCTGAACAAATCGGATTACCAAAACCATCATCCAAAACAAAGTAGCTAAATACCTCACAAGTCCAAAGCTGGGTATGTAACATTTCTCAAGCATGAGATCTTCTCCTTAACTACTCGACCCGGGGTATACATTCCCTATTTTCCTCTTAGTCTTGGTCAAATCTATTTCCAACAATGATTTGCTACCTTCTCAGTGAATACCTTTCCCTAACTGTCAGGATCAGCATAGGTCCTTTCTGGGGGCATAATTCACTCCTAAATGGCTTGAAAACTCTTAAGCAGCAAGAAATCTTCCACAGATCAGCCAGATCCTTTAATTTTTCTCTGATGCCATCACAAAGCCTTTCGAGGTGCTTATGGGGCTTAGCCTTTAGTCCTGCACAAGAGTAAGGGCATATGATAAAAAAAGAGAATTTGTTCAGGACCATGATCTCTTTATATTAGCTACCACCAACCTTCAGAGACCAGCTAAGCAAAACAATGGTCCATATTTATAAAGGGCCTATTACAGGTGAAAACTTCCTACTTACCCAGGAAAAGGTATCTCATCCTCTTCTGCCCAGTCTTCTTGCTCTCCTCCATAGTAACTGCTAGCTTGTCTGGTCATGTCATGACCTGTGTCTTCACTTTCACTATCCCCGAGGGCACTATCTGAACTTTCATTTCTTGGAATATCCCATTCAGTTCCTACAGCAATTTTTTTCTCTGAACTCTCTTTATCCCCATGGGGGACAAGAATGGAGAGTGTATCTCTTTGGTCCTGCTGAGGAAAGCAGGTTTTACATGAATCTTGGTGAACTGTTTCTATACACTTACAAAATTCATTGTTCGGTTTGTTATTTTTTGTACATAGTCTTTTTGAAAACTCTAACATACAGCAGTACTCTTTACTGTCTGTACTTGTTTTAACTGGAACATCATCAATAGTCCTAGTTTCAATCGAATCGTCATTAAAATATTCATCAAATAAGCTCGTGCTTTCTGGGTCTGAATGATTCCAACAGGGAAGTTCACAGGGCTCTCCAGAAACCACGGTCTGTATATCAGACTCTCTGGATTGGTCCTTAGTAGTTTGTTTAATTTCTTGATGCTGATCGACAGCCCCTCTTTCTTCCTTCAGTGGTTTGGTGTGATGCCGGGTAATCTGATCCACCACCGCCTGACTCCGGAGCTCAGTGTCTGAGTCAGGTGACATAGAATCCCCAATCAGGAAAGTAACCTTTGTCTGTGCTGCCTCACAAGAAAACGCAGCAGGCATGATCTTATCTGGAGGTTTCTTTTCCACAGCCGTGCCTGTGGATCTCATCGCTTTGCTTGTGTGATTATTTGAATCCAGCAATTCCTCACTCTGCCACGTCTCCTCTGTTGGCTCCAAGCCTGACTCTGACAACGCACATTTGTCTACTGGAGCAGATCCTGTGCAAACAACTGTCTCTAACTTGGTGTCAGGGCAAGTTCTTAATTTGTCTCTGCACTGTTTAACATCAGCGACATTTTCCTCTTGGCAGTGAGAAGGAGAAATGATCCGGCACTGATCTGAAATTCCCAGCAGTTCCTTAGAGCTGTTTTCAGTATCTTCTCTCTCTTGCTGTGAAACATTCTCTGTATTTTGCCCAAGGAGTGGACGACCACAATATTTACAGTTACAGTTAGGAGTTCTTGTTTCTTCTGACTCTTTCAAGAGCAAACTGCTTTTGTTTCTATGCACCGTGACAAGCACATACTCCGATTCCTCTATTTCGCCTTTCTCCAAAGTGGTGGTAATCACCGTGCCTGGCATGACAATGGCTTCGTCTTCTCCGTTTTCTAGAAGATGGGTTTCTTGAAGTTCAGAGCATCTTATGAAATAAGTAAGAAAATAAAGCAGCCTCTGGACCATGTCTTGTCGTTTGCCAACTACCACAGTCCTCGCTAACCGTACAGGAGAGCCAATAGCGCCATACAAGTCTCCTGCAATGAAAAGATCAGTTAATGGACACATCCTCTACTCATTCGGCTAAGCAGGCTGTTTTCAATGATCAGAACCCTGCTCTCATGGTATGAGGGGTAGTTCAGGTTTTACTCTTAGTTCTTTAACAGATGAGTGGCTATTCAGGAGACTAGGAGGAGATGAACAGTCTTAACCAGAGAGAAAGGTGAATTGAGAGATTTTCTAGCTTTTTCCTCAAACAGGTGCTGTGGTTCTGAAACCTCAAGCAAAGAGTCGGCTCTGAAAGTCACGCACAGTAAGAATGTTCTCTGCACTAGGTCACATGCAGAGCACTTTTACCTGAGGAGAGAAGTACTACTGCCTGAAGCACTACACGCACAGGGACGCTGTAGCTGTGCACAGAGCAGGAAAGAGAAAGCTCAGGATCTGCTGACTTGCAAAGAGAGGAGGGGAGTCGTCGTGGAATGCAGCAGAGCTGGAGCAGCCACACCCCACGCTCAGCTGTCCCTGATTTGAATCACATCCGTGAACTTTACCTGCTGCTGCCCTAATCAGGACCCCACACCAGCAATTCCCATGTTTTCAACATGGTTGAAATAGGTTGGATAGTCAGGATGGGCCAGAGGGGCAGGAAGAGAGAGATTCATCCTCACTAAGAGGAAGATAAAGGGCAACAAATTCAGCCATGTAGTCCATTTTCACTTTTCTATCCACAGTAGACACGAGCAGACATTATGTCAAAGGAGGGGACCTAAGAGTTATCAATATCATTTCTATAATTATACTGTAGCTTAAATTAAACCAATAACTTTAATGCCAAAACAATGACTTAAAAATGGAAACTACAAAGGCATTAATTTAAATGTAATTCAATTTTTGCAAGTTATCAGTAGACACATCTAAAATCCTCCATGTTTACTTTACAAAACCCCCACACTTTTTAAAGGAACAAACATAAATAGGTCTCAAATAAATATATGCTGTAGATAATATTATGATAAATTTCTCCTCTGGCTAAGACAGTGGCTCAAATATCATCATTCCACTGTTCTAAACTAATTTCAAAATTCCCACTAATTACCAAATAAATTGAAACTGCTTTGGCATAGCAATCGAGTCTTTTGTGACTGCTCCCACTTTATTTTTCCAGCTTTATCTTCTTATAGTTAGCCTTCTTCATTTTTATTCACCCAAACCCCACTTAAACTGAACTACTTAAACCAGACCACTGAATGTGGGCTACACTTTTAACATCTAGACTCTACTCATCCTATGCACCAGCCCTTCCTTCTGCATCTCTGCCAGCCCAAAGATTTTCACTCAAGCACCCTCACTTGGGTAAAAATAAGTTGAACTTTTTTATTTGAACTCCCACTGAACTTTTCACGTCTCTTACAGTTCCTCTTTGAATTATGATTATTGTCTACGTATATATTACCTACAGTATTAGACTTAGGCAGCTTCAAAGAGCAAGGACGAAATCATTCATCTTTATACCCTTTGTGTTCTTTGCACAGAGCCTTAAATATCACACACTCAACAAATGATTGTAGAATGAAAAACAGATTTGAAATGTCCCAATTAAAAACATACTATTGAATTACTTGATTTAACAAAGTTAATATCACACAACAGAATAATTGCCAGCATTAAAAAAGAATGAACTATTAATATAAGTAAATCCCAATTATGTTGAATGAAAGAAGTCAGACAAAAAAAAAAAACTATGTACCGTATGATCCTATTTATATAAAACTCTAGAAAATACAAACTAATCTATTGTGAAACAAAGCAGATTAGTGGCTGCCAGGGGATGAGGAAAGCGCAACAGGGAGGTTGGGGAGGAGAAGGAGGGAGGGATTACGTAAAGGCATGAAGAATTTTTAGAAGTGATGGATATGTTATCATCTTGATTTTGGTGATGGTTTTAGAGGCACATGTATTGACAAAATTCATCAAATCGTATATTTCAAATATGTGTTTACCATATGTCAACTGTAACTCAATAAGGTGGAATGGAGGAAGGAAACAGAAAGGGAGGTCAGTTTCATGAATGGATGAGCCACATGACAATCTGCCTGGCAAATGCAATCACAAGAGCAACCTAAGGAAGTTTCTACCAGGTCACCAAAATGTTTCATCTTACTCTTCCCTAATCACCTAACAGCAACAGAGTAAGAGTAGGAGTAATTAGCAGGTACATTTATCAGACACTGTCCTAAACACTTTACATGTATTATCTCATTTAATTTTCATAACATTTTGAAGTATGTACTATTATTATCCCCACTTTATAAATAAGCATACTGTGGTTCGAATGTGGTGTGTCTGACTCCGCAGTGTGTGCTTATTTTAAGCACCCTGCTAACTGCCCCCCTAATGCCTGTGCACTCATCAATCGTCCACTCTCTCCATCACCAATTTATTTAGTGGTGCTTACTTAGCACGAAGGGAAACACGCTCCAAAATGACTCATCAAACGAACAAAAGTGAAACAATAGAAACCTTAGCGAACTGCTTCTCCAGTAACCAGATTTATTCACAGGTGACTTTGCTGATTTACTCTTTCTGGGAAAAATACCTAACACAAAGTACAAAAATGCAAAACGACCTGAAGACTCTGAAGTTACTAGTTAAGCAGTTGCCACCCTAGTCTTCTTGTTTCACATGCAATTCTCTGCAAGGAATGATATCAGGCATTAAGATGGGGACAGGACAATTAGCAGACGCGAAAGGACAAGTAAAAGAGAGATGCCTTAAAATAGAGGAGGTAAAAGAAAGCATTTTATTTTTGTTTTTGCTACAAAATAATTTCAGACAGTTACACAAAAGTCTATGTATAATACATATTGTAAGGGTTTTCAGACTACATACCCAGTTGTGCCCAAAGTGGGTTATATGGATGAGTCTTTGCCAACATGTCCACACTCTGAGAGGAATGTTTTTCTAAAAATATTTTTATAGGTGGTTGTCCATTTGGCATGACGGTTGGAACCCAGGCAAGATGATTGGTCAAAACTGCAGTAATGAGAGCTGGCAAGAATCTGAAAACAAAATACATCCTATCAGATTCCAACCTGCCTTCATGAAACCTTACATAAAGTGCAGTGACAGCGTAAGCAAGGAGAGTACACACTCTTGTGTGGCAAGTGGAATTAGACAGGAAAGGAGAGAGGCAAGGATAGGTCTACCACCCACCAGGACTAAAATGGAAGTTAATAAATATTTGGTTGAGGAGGAGTTAAAAAAAAATCTTTAAAATAAAGAGAACATTCACAAGGAGCTATTTCAGAGTATAATTACAAAACAAAAATGCCATTTTACTTGAAAAACTATGGATTCTTTTCAGTGTTTAATCTGCACAGTTTATTAAGGACTCAACCAGCAGGTCCCTACATTTCCAAATTACTGAATGGGAAAATGATGGAAAGTATTAAGCAAACTTTTTCTATCATCAAAGAGAATAAAAACTTCTGAATTTCTCATTTGGATTCAAAAGACTTGATGAATAAGTCAGAAGAAAACAATATGATAAAATATCACATTAAAAACGTATCACTGGAATTCCAGCACTTTCTCACATTGCTTTTGGTTACTAATAATATGAAATAATTCCAAAGATAATGGATCATTCTTCCACCTCTGTAATTGGGTTTGATTACAATCTAGATGTCTAATTACAGTAAATGATAACATACATACATACATGCATGCATACATAAATAAACAAAGTCATACTGATTTTTGGAAGCATTTTCCATTAGAAAAGTGAACTCCTTCATGAAACGATGGCAAAGCTGGTTCTTTTCTGGAGTCCCCGACATCATCGTAAGCCAGACAGGTTCTCCAATGCGCGGCATTGTGTAAAGATTACAAATTGTGGTTCTAAAAAGAAGACACATTAAGAAATTTATAGTTTCCACAGTTTCACTGAATTGTGAACCAGTATGAATGTGCCATATTACAATGGACAGAAGTGATGAGCACAGGTCACTTTAATGAGTTCTTGGTAGGGTACAAAAATCATTGCTAAGAACTTAAAAAAGTAAACACATAACAAAGTATTTTACAGAGAAAATTATCACTAGGACACAACTAGGGATATATGAAAATGCTTATTTTTGAAAGCTTATTAAAGGTGTTCAGATAGGAGAGAAAACTGAACACAAACGTTTATTTCTCTTCAGTTTTAAGGCCTCAACTGAATACAACTTAAGGTTTTGGAAACAGATAAACCACTGCAACATACAGAACTGGAGATGAATCATTAGTGAAAATTATTTCATAAAATTTTGGAAAACAAAAGACATGAAGGCATGGTGACAGAAGGAGTAGAGTAGAGGAAGCCACAGGCTATAGTCTCACAGAGGGGACCTGGATAAAGAGGAGCTAATCTGCCCTGACTAAAGCAAGAGGAGGCTCAAGATTCACAAATGTAATAAGAAAAAAAAAAAAAAGATTCACAAATGCTTGGTAAAGCAGAAGCAGGCGTTAAGAAACAAAGACTGAAAATTGGGAGACTCATTCCAAGTCCACAAATGGTCGGCAACCCCTTATACCTCCACTGCACTTCCTCACAGAGTGACTGTATAAGTGAGAGAAGATGTAGCTGTTGAATAGCCCAGAGGAATGATCTCCTCCGAATCCTTCCTAATATTTGCATCTTTCACAGTATGTAAACAGATACAGAGTACATCTTGTGGTGTTAAAATTTTATGGGGGGGAAGTGCAGGGACAAAGATTAGGGAAAAAATGTCTAAATATGCTCCTTCAGAGAGTGATAATGAAAAAAGATTTAAAATAAAGTGAAGGTCTTCAGCTGAAAGCCTGATTATGCACAGAACTCCCAACCTGCAGTTTGGTGTCTCATTCTCAACTAAGGGTGGACAACAAAAAACACTGATATTTAGAGAAAGCCTCCAAGGAAAGAGAAAGAGGCAGAAACAGAAAGAACACACACATACATAAACAAAATGACTCCAGAGGAAATAGAAATAATGCATGAAACAGAAGAGAATTTTTAAATAAAATTCTAACGTACATTCTTAAAAAATATGATAGAGAATCTATTTTTCAAAGAAAAAGATTCCTGAAAACTTCTTGCACAGAAGATTTGCCGAAATGTAAAAAATCATAGAAGGGACAGAAAAACAAGAAAGAAAAGAATACATTCACAAAAAAAAAGGAGACAATGAAAGAAAAGAAACCTAGAAGAACAATCCAGGAGTGCCGATCTCTAACAAAAAAGATCCCAGAAAGAAAACAGAATAGTCAAAGAAAGTAGAAAATTTACCAGATGTGAAGGACAAGATAGTGCTATTACTATACTGAGAGTATAAAAGACTAAGGGGTAGGTGTAAACTCACCTATCATGGCAGAAAATAAATATGATCTAAAATTGATAAATCAAGAAATAGCATTGAGTAAACTATTTAACAACATGGAGGTAAATAACAGAAAACATACGAGTTAAAAGAATGTTTTTGGGAAGAATGGGGGGTGGATGGGGTAGGATAGAGTTCATTTATTTTTCGTTAATAGACCTTCCAGATTTTTTTTGTTTCCTAACCATGTGCATGTAGTTTCTGATAAAAAAAAAAAAAAACCCACTGTATAAATAAATGAATAAGCTGATCACTTAGAGTTCTTCATACTCATGAAGAACTTCATAGTTCTTCATACTCTTCAGCATATTCCAGTCTACTACAAATCCAGGCATCAGGGGACAGAGCCAGATCACAGACACTGCTGCCAGTGCTCCCCTGAGGGCCTTTCTTGACTGCTTTAGTGTTAAGGGATATGTGTTACAACCTCGGGGTGCTATCAAGTGCAAAGAAATCAGCCTATTAAACAATAGTGCTTCTCACTATATACAACTCTATGTTGTCACTAACAACCTAGCAGTAATGATTTCTTCTACAGAAGAATAATTATGTCCTATCATTCTTAAGTGGTAAGAAAAGCAAGTATTGTCAGTAATCTGTCCCCTTATTTTTCCCAGTTTGTGTCCAGAGAATGAAAGACTCCTTTGGTTGGGAGGGAACTGTGGACATGATATAATCTTCTTTGATATGCATGAAGTTTAAGTAAAAAATCATCTTTGCCAGGCAGCAATGCTAAGTAAACATGCTTCCTGCTTCTCTAGATTTCAGGATTTCTGGATATATGTGAATCACTTCCTTCCTCTTCTCACCTACCCAAAATGCATTTATCATCTGGTCTCAAATAATCAAATACTTTGAAAATTATGTAATTGATAATTTTCAATAATCACTTAATTTAAAAAGTAGAGTCATTTCTCAGTATCCTCCAGTGATTGGTTCCAGAACCCCCGTGGGTACCAAAGTCCGTGGATGCTCAAGTCCCTTGTACAAAGTGACATAGTATTTGCATATAACCTGTGCACACCTTCCTGCATACTTTAAACCATTTCTAGATTAGTTATAATACCTAATACAATGTAAATGCTACATATATAGTTGTTATACTGTACTGGTTTTTAAATTTTTATTATTTTTAATTGTTGTAGTGCTGTTTTTTGTTTTTTTTCTTTTTCAAATATTTTCGATCTGAGGTTAGTTGAATCTGCAGGTGTGGAACCCACACACACAGAGGGCCGACTGCATGGTCTGTTCTCATTATTGAGAGCAGTTATGCTCTAGGAAGTCCACCAAGCAGTGAACTAGTGGACACCGCACCACTGCTCCTTGGGACATACAGGGCCAGTCAGGCTCCTGTGAGCCTCTGGTCGCAACATTTTCATCAATCCATCAATACACAACCTTGTTTTTGTGTGGGTGTCTGTTTAGGCACACCTTATTTAATACATGTGGCTGATGTACTGACAGGGAACTCAGGGCCAACGGCACTACAAATCATGCCTGAATGACGCTTACCTAACACATGTATTTTTTTCTGTGAGGCACATCACAGTCTTCTTGCAGTGAATATTAGACAACATTTCAGCACTATGCTTGGGAGCCATTTTTAACAGCAAAATCACTTACAAAAAGGACAATAATGCAAAAAACTTGGCACTTAATAAATGTCAAAAAGGACTTTTGTTTACAGCATAAAGGTGAAACGAGAGGGCAGAGCATCAACTTGTTTGACCTAATTTGGGAACACGTGAGTCAGGTGACTCAAAGTTTTCACTGCTCTGTACGTTTGCTCAAATTACCGCAAAAGCACTGCAAGTATATTTTGGGGTTACAAATAAATCTTTGCAAAAGGTGAACGACAGCATACTGAATGATTATAGCTAATGGAAAAATGAATGACAGCAATGTAATAAGGGATGTGGGAAAGGAACTGGGAATATTTTTTTATAAGGTACTTGTATTGCCTATGAAGCAGTACAGGGTTATTTAAAAGTAGAATTAGATTATGTCTATCGCCAAATCACCCTGAACATGTCTGATCTTCTATGAGAGTAGACTCAGATTAATTATAAATATATATTGAAAACTCTAGGGCAAACATGAAAAAAACAGTGTTTTAAAGAAATATAATTGACATGTTGAAGGAAGAGAGCAAAATGGAAGCATATAAAATGCTTAAGACCCAAGAAGGAAGAAAAATAGAGAAAAAACAAAAATACAGAAAACAAGTGAAACAAACAGGCAACAGTTACAAATATGGTAGATACTAATCCAACTATTAATATATCAATCACTTTAAATGTGAGTGGTCTAAATACATTAATTAAAAGGTAGAGACCCAACTTTGTGTTGTCTAACAAGAAACTTTAAATATAAAGACACAGATAGATTAAAAGTAAAAGCATGAAAAAGATATGCCATATTAACACTATCAAAAGAAAGCTAGAGTACTTATATTAATTTAATTTCACTCAAAGCACAGGTCAGAACACCAGAAATTATCAGAGATGAACAGGGGTACTACATAACGATAAGGGGCCAATTTTCCAAGAAGACATAATAATTTTTAATGTGTATGCACTTAACAAAAGAGCATCAAACTATGTGATGTAAAAAACTGATAGAGCTGCAAGAAGAAATAAACAAATCCATTATTATAGTCGGAAATTTAGGCCAGGCACTGTGGCTTACATCTGTAATCCTAGCACTCTGGGAGGCCGAGATGGAAGGATTGCTTCAGCTCAGGAGTTTGAGATGAGCCTGAACAAGAGTGAAACCATCTCTACTAAAAATAGAAAAATTAGCCAGGCATTATGGCATGCACCTGTAGTCCCAGCTACTCGGGAGCTGAGGCAGGAGGATCACTTGAGCCCAGGAGTTTGAGGTTGCAGTGAGCTACGATGATGCCACTGCCCTCTACCCAGGGCAACAGAGCAAGACTCTGGCCCCTAAAAAAAAGAAAGAAAAAAGAAAAAAAAGAAATTTAAATATCCCCTATTAGTAAATGACATATCCGGCAGGCAGAAAATTAGTAAGGATATGGTTGAGCTGAACGAGTATCATCAATCAACTGGATCTAATTGACATTTGCACAAGTTTATCTAAAACATCAGAAAACACATTTCTTCTCAAGCTAACAGGGAACATTCACCAAAATACACCACATTCTGGGCCATAAAACACACCTGAGCAAATTTAAAATAATAGAAATCATACAGTGTGTGTTCTCAGACAACAGTGGATCTAGAAATCAGTAAGAAAAAGATAACTAGAAAATTCCAAAATACTTGGACAGTAAACACCACACTTCTAAATAACACAAGGGTCAAAGACGACATCTCGAGAGAAATTAAAAATATTTTTGAACTAAATGTAAATCTAACTTACCAATATTTGTGAATGTGGGAAAAGCAATGCTTACAGGACTATTTATAGCATTGAAAACACACATAAGAAAAGAAGAAAGTTCTAAAAATCAATAATCTCAGCTTCAATCTTAGGAAACTCAACAAAGAACAACATAAAACTAAAGTAAGCAAGAGGTAAGAAATAATAAAAACCAGAGCAGAAATCATTGAAATTGAAAATGAATAAAGGAAATCAACGAAACCAAAAGTTGGTTCTTTGAAAAAGACCAACAAAAAAGATAAACCTTTAGCCAGGAAACCAAGAAAAAAAAAAATAAAAGGCACAAATTACCAAATCAGAAACAAAAGAGAGGTCATCACTACTGATCCTATGAGCAATAAAAGGATAATTAAGGAATAATATAAACAACACTATGCCCAAAAACTACCACAACTCACAAAGAAGAAACGGATAATCTGAATAGCCCTATATAATCAATTAAAAGAAACATTAAATCAAAATGGCATGGACGATACACAGATTTGGCAAAACTTGAAGGTATGATGTGAATGACTGAAGTTGGGGAAGCACTGCTGTGGGCTGTAGGTGCCACAGACAACTGCGATGCCACTAATGTCAGGCATCCTGCCAAGTACCTTACATACATCATCTCATTCGATCCTCACAACAGTCTATTAGATTATTAATAAATTGAATTTACATATTTTAAACTAGAGAACTAGGGGTCAAAAATGCTAATGCACTCACCCAGGGTCAGCAGAAGTAGTAAATGGCAGAGCCAGGGTCAGAATATAGGTCTGTTAGATTCTAAAGTCTTAGTTCTCACCTGTTGTGCCATACTCTCAGTCTACAGAATAAAAGACTCAGAGGATGAAGCAGAACTAAACAAAATCTCTTCAAGGGATTTATAGTCGTTTACTGTGATTCCCAACATAAGATCATCTGCAGTATGTTTGCTTGCTGTACAGTTAGAGGACAGTTATAGTAGTTGTTGGGTCTTCAAGCACAAGCTGTGCTGAGTTGGAAAACACTGGCAGAAGAAAGACTATTCGCTGTGCCATCTCTAGGGAAAAGGATCCATCAACAGAGCCATGTGGAACGTCAAGTTCACATTTCTTATATCCACATATCCTTACATTTCATGTACCCAAGAACACCTGACTACTACCATTGGTTAAGTGACACTTAACCAGTTCATACACATGGGAGAGCCTGAGAGAGAACAAGGCACACCTCTGCTGGAACAAGGATATCTTCTGGTCATGTCTTCTTGCCAAATGGTCCAGTGCTGAAAACCCTACCACTGATGGCTCCCAAATGTGCCTGAATCCCAAAGTATATTTGAGATTTGATAACAGGAGACAATGGTCTACTGAATTACACCTTCCTTTGACTAGAGAACAAAGAAATTTAAAGAAATAAATTTCATTAGAGCAAGTTAAAGGAAAAAATTCAATTTTCCTGTGTGCACTGTGAAATAACTCTGTATTACAGAAAGCTGAGGAATGTATGTACCTGAATTCATTTAGGGCATCAACTATTCGATTATATGCCAAACTCCTCTGACTGGCATCAGCTGATCTTCGGCTCATTTTCATAGCCTTGAAAACAATTATTAAACAGTTAATTCTCATAATAATCATGAGCAAAACATGAAAAAAAAAGAAAGAAAAAAGATAGTCACATATTTACATAACACTCCACCAACATATTTATCTAGAAAGAAATAAAGAAGGCACACACATTTATAGTTACTTTCTCTTCTGCACATGCGGTCATTAACAACTGAACAAAATTCAAACTTTTCAACTGTTAAATCTCTTACTGTAACTGTCAAACCACAGAATGTCAACACACAAAAAAACTGATGTTGACAGTTTCTGGGTTACGAAAAACTTTTTTTTCTCCCCACACATAATGATAACTCAATAATAGCTCATAGTTTTACTCTTACATTTCACAGATAATGCTTTGGTTAACTTTTCTTAAAATCTAAACATTCTACAGAAAGATATCTCAAGTTATGAGTAATATTTGCTTTCTTAAAAATATATTTAGCTGAGGTTGAAAAGCTTTGATCTAGGTAGACAAAAAAGGGATCAGGAGTAGGATATGTAGGTCAAAAAGAACTTGATCTGTAATCTTTTAGATGTTTTCAAAGAGAATTCTGTATTCTTTATGTAATTACAAAGTGATTAAACATTTTTCAAAAAACATGTATGTAAGAGGTCAGACTACTTCAGGCCAGAAATCATGTTCCTGGACATCCAAAAGCTTCATAATGTGAAAGTAAAATTTACTTTATGTTTTTTCAAACTGTTAAGAGACTCACAATTTATAAAAAAGTGAATATTCTTTTGCTAAAATTGAGTAGTGTTCTTCCTTAATTTTATCAGCAATAGTACATTATAGATCTCAAAAGATAGCAGACTTTAAAATAACTGCCGAGGAGCTCAGAAACAAAATGCATACCTTTTATTAAAAAAAAAGTACATAGTCTGAAAACCGGCTCTAGAAGATAACTTCTTTGGATGGTCCAGTATTTAAAATATTTTATCATTAATTAACTACTATAGAACTTTCAAAATTAAGTCCAACTCAATTACATAAAACCATTCGATTAGTTTTATCTTTCAGCTTTAATAAAAAATGGGATACTAAACTTGGAACAAATATCCGGACAACTGTAAGCACTAACAACGTACACCTTAGGTTACAGAATGGTCAAAGCGTTAAAACACAAAAACACTTAAAAAGTAACCTTTAATGAGTTCCATAATGCCTATTTCAAGTTTTATCTAAAGCTTGAAATACTTTTTCAAGGACTTAATACTTTTTCAAATACTTAACTCAAAATGTCAGTTCAGCCACAGCTAAATACTGTGTGTGATGACTTTTGGCAACAATAGACTACAAAATGGGACCATGGTCAACTGAAGAAAATGTAACTAATTTAAGAAAACATAAATGAAAATGGCCTTTACTCATTTGTTCAGTAAAAAAGAATAGCTACTCTGTTTTCTTGACAGATTCAATGTGAGGAACTAACACCTGTGTCTCCTCTTAGAGGCAGATGGATCCTCAGTCACTACTGAGTTACTCGGATGCATCCTCTGATTTCTAAACCATTCCAATTTGTCTACCCACTTCTAGCCTCTTATTCTAATCTCTTTTAACATACTGGCAAATTAACCTTCCTAGAGCATAAACTGAAAACAACCTTAAAAATAAAGTCAAAACTCCCTAGCAAGCATTCTAGATTCTTCATCAGTGGGTCCCCATTAACTCTGTCAGTTGTACCACTCACTACTTCTCTTCATCTCCTTTCCCTCCACGTATTGTCACAGGGATTAAGAACTTTGGATATAGCCACTGATTTCATTAATTCAATTTCTGGGCATCTCCTCTGAAAAACAATCTGTACAGTTCACCATGATGTTAACTATAGGGTAGCAATAACTGCGAAAAAGTGGAAATGTCTAATAAGCAAATTGTTACTTAAACTGAAGAAATCCACTAAAATATATTTAAGAACCATTTATAATAACATGAGAAATGTGTTACAGTGATGAGTTTTTAACACATTAACTGCCACATGAGTTGTATTTAACTCGCGCTAGTTTTGAGCTCAGGGCCTCAAGAAGCATATGTAACTCACATGTCTCTTCACCTTGGGAGCTGTGAGAACTATTTTTCAAGTTGCATATAACTCATGCACAGAAAACAATAAAAATAACAAATTTTTCATTAAATTAGAAAGGATCATTTTGTTTTCGAAGTTTTTATTCTATTTTCATAATAAAACACCGTGGCCCCAAAGAAAAAAATTTTTTTTCTAGTGTGGCAGCCAGCGTGTTAAAATGGGTACATAATTCTGAAAATATGGACACAGTACAGTACCTACCAAGTAAAAGTACAATATGCAAAGAAAAGGCCTAAATAAATAACACTTTGAGCATGAAAGTGAGTTGCCTTTGGGTGGCAAGAACATCAATTTTCTTGCTATTCTGCTCTATCCAATTTTCAGAGCTTTATGTTTAAGAAAATCTTATATATCTTTCAAGATGCAGTCCAAATGAAACTTCTTCCCAATAAGAAGTCATTTTTCTTTCCTCTGAACTACTAAAAAACTTTGCTCATGCTTTTTTAGCTATCCTTAGGTTTTATCACATAGTTCGCAATTTTCTTACTTTATGTATTGGTATTATACACACTATTAGCAGCATTTCACAATCAATTACTCCCTCCTTGAAACGCTTTATTCACTTGGCTCCCCTGCAAAAGTACTCTTGTTTGGCTGTTCCTCCTAATTGAATGGCCAGTCTTTTTCCATCTCCTCTACTGGTTCCTTCTTACCTTCTCAAACTCTAAATATTAAAATGCTCCACATCTAAGGCCTAGAATTTCCTCTTCTCTCCTCCCTATTTCAGTCAGTCTCATGGCTTTAAATACCATCTATACACTGATGACCTCTCCCCTAAACTCCACCCTTGGATGTTCAGGAGGCAAATAAAAAAAAAAACTCATCTTTCCCCATCAAACCTGTTCCATCCGCAGTTTTTCCCACTTCTATACTGGCAACTCCATCCTAACTACTTGGTTGAAAAATCTTAGAGTCAACCTTGATTGTTCTTTCTCTCACACCCTAATTCAGTCCATCAGCTAATCACATTGGCTCTATTTCAAAATATACTCAGAATCCAACCACTTCTCACCAATTCCATCACTAAACTGGTTGAATATTCCCCATCTCTCACCTGGATTATTGCAACATCCGCCTACCTGGCACCACCACACCCACATTCGCTCCTAGAAATCTATTCTCTACCATCGGTAAGAGTGATCCTTATAAATAGTGTCGCTTCCCCACTCAAAACCCTCCAATGGTTTCTTGTATTTCTTAAGGGTAAATGCCAATGCTCAAACGGCAGTATCCTACAAAGCCCTGTGTGGGCTGCTCTCGCTCGCCCTAGCCACTTTGGCCTCCTTAATGTTGCTGAAGCATCAAGCTCACTCCTATCACAGTGCCTTTGCCCGTCTGGAGCAACTCCCAGATAGTTGCAGCTCACTTCCCGGTATCTCCGGACCATGTTATTATCAGGGGCCTTCCTGACTAGCCCATAAAAATAAGTATTCCTTCCTTTCAGCATTCTTTATATATCTTTCCCTATTTTATTTTTTTCCACAGCACTTATTATCATCTAAAATAGTGTACACTCATTTGTTTGTTTGCTGTCCCATGAGGCCAGGAGTGTTTTTTCCACAAACTTCCTTCAGTTGGTAGAATGGTGTCCACCACATTTTAGGCCCTGAAATATTCATTTACAGAATGAATGGATGAATGACTTTAGATCTTTTATTGGTCAGTAAACTTCTTAAAAGGTGCTAAATCTATTGGTTATCTCCCAGAGCACTTTATAGGGTACCCACATAGTGTCTTATTAATTTTTCTGCCAAATGAACAAACATAATGTCTAATCGGGAGAATAACATTTTAAAAAAGATGTGAATATATAACTATGCTTACCTGTTCTATTGCACTCTTTAATTTGTTCATGTGGCTTTCAAAGAGAGGAAAATGTGAAAAAAAGAATTCATTAAATTTGTTATTTTCATCTTCATCTTTGGATAACGAAAAGATTACCCCAATTGCAATCTTCTTTTTCCTCACAATTCCTGGGTTAGGGCCACAGCTTTCATCTGACAGATTAAAGCTTTCTTCTATAGACCTTAAAAATAAATGTTTTTTTTTAATTTAAAAAAAATAAAAATAATTAATTCACAATTCAATCTTCTTGCTAATTAAATGCAGGCAAGTCAAGGGACTTCTGCTTTTTTATCACACAAATCTAAGTTTTCATATCAATTGTATATCTCTTTGAGAAACCTACTGGCTGTTCTTTCATGCTCACATTTTCATAAGAAGTTTTACTAGAGAGTCAGACTGGGAACATTTCTGTCCATTTAGAAGTCACTGAAGCAGCAGATAATCCCAATTCGTAATCAACCTAAACATGTCTGAATTTTAAGGTTTAGAGATGAGTCTGGTACAATTTTTTCAATATTCTAGGATTTACTTGTCTCTCCTTTTGATTCCAGGTGTAAAGTCAAAGATGAGGGAATAAAGGGAATGAATAAAGGAGAAAATAAGAAGTTTCATTACCTATAGTTATGCTTAATGTAGAGTTTAAAAAGATCTTTCAAGAATGGAGTAACTTGCCAAAATAGAAACATGAAAGGCTGATATATCAAAACATGTAGCACGTAGATCAAAGACTTAAGCGTAAAACTCTTAGAATGAAACACAGGGTAAAGGCTTCATGATATTGAATTTGGTAATGGTTTCTTGGATATAACACAAAAAGCACAGTCAACTCATGAAATGGGAGGTAATATTTGCAAATCATGTATCTCATAAAGGATTAATAACCAAAATATATAAAGAACTCCCATAATTCACCAACAAAGCAAATAAACCCAATTAAAAAATGGGCAAAGGACATGAATAGACATTTCTCCAAAGAAGATATATAAATGCCCAATAAATACATGAAAAGATGCTCAACACTCCTATTTACTAGGGAAACGTAAATCAAAACTAGAATGAGAAACCACTTCATATCAAGATGGCCATTATTAAAAAAAACTGTTGGCAAGAATGTAGAGAAGTTGGAAGCCTTATGCATTGCTGGTGGGAACGTAAAATGGTACAGCCACGGTGAACAGCATGGCAACTCCTCACAGAATTAAAAATTGCCATGAGATCCAGCAATTCCACTTCTGAGTACATACACCAAAGAAGTAAAAGCAGATATCCGCACACATATCTGCACACCCATGTTCACAACAGCATCATTCACAACAGCCAAAAGCTAACACAACCTAAATGTCCACTGACAGATGAATGGATAAACAAATGTGGTCGTATATAAAATGGAATGTTATTCAGCCATAAAAAGGAATGAATTTCTGACACACACAGGTAAACCCTGAAAACATTTTGCTAAGTAAAATAAGGCAGACGTGAAAGGACAAATACTGCTATGATGCCACTCATGTAAGATACCTGGAGTAGTCAGACTCACAGAGACAGAAAACAGAATGGCAGCTTCCAGGGGCAGGGGAGTGAGGAACGGGGAGTTACTGTTTAATGGGTACAGAGTTTCAGCTTGGGAAGATAAAAAAGTTCTGCAGCTGTATGATGAAGGCTGCACAACAATGTGAAGGTACTTAATGTCACTGAACTGTACACTTAAAAAAAAGTACACTTAAATGGTAAATTATATACAACTTGGCACAATGAAAGAAATGGTAATACCTTTTAAAAGTTTTCAGTTCCAGACTTAAAATACACAAAATGCAAGTCCAGGATCTAAAAACCCACATAAAATTGTGTTTAAGGAACTAACCAATCTTGTTCTAAGTTTAAAGTTCTAACTTACCATCTAGGAAATACCCCATTCTCCAAACTTGTTGTTTGGCTGCGTCGCCAACGTCGCTGGTAGCTGCTGGCACAACTTCGGGTGAGTGAGGAGTTCGGGGAAGGAAATGGAGTGATAAGCAAGCTGCTGAGGGACGCTGTTAAGTCAAAGGAACAACAAGTATAATGTGTAAGTCAACAATCTCTAAGCATAAGAACAAATTTCTTTTTAACAAATTTAAGAGTAGGTGGACTTAAATTTTTCATTTTGCTTCATGAGCCTTTAAAATTTCTATTTAACACATTAACTGCCATGTGAGTTGTATTTAACTCATGCTAGTTTTGAGCCTGGGGCCTCGTGAAACATATGTAATTCACACATCTCTTCACCTTGGAGCCGTGAGAACTATTTTTCAAGTTGCATATAACTCACATGAAGAAAACAATAAAAAATAAAAAATTTTTCATTAAATTAGAAAGGATTGTTTTGTTT